GAAGCTTTCCTAGTGGCAGAGCTGGGAACGAAGCCCAAAATTGCTGATACCTACATTTCTATCTCTCACTTCACACACTTTCATATAATTGCCCTCAAACTTTGTAACTTACAGATCACTCGAGAAACAAAGAAAATCCTCACTGAACAAACTGTATGCAACCTGAAAGTCAATGCAGTAAATATTCAGAATAATAATCAAAAGAAACATTTATAAAATCAAGAAAGCTTTTCACTGCCCTTTTGCGTGGATAAAGCAATGCTTATATGTGTATTTCTACTCTGAACAAGAGAATGTTCTTCTTAACTGGATTCAAAAAAAAGCAACAAAGTCATTCAAAAGCCAAAGGCCTTGAGTCATAATCAAAGAAGAGCTAAAGTTGGAAGGGAAGATCTCCAGAGATCATCTAGTCCAACCCCCTTGCACACGCAGGGACACCTAGAGCACATGGCACAGGGTGGCATCCAGGCAAGTTTGAAGATCTCCAGAGAAGGAGACTCCACAGCCTCTCTGGGCAGCCTGTTCCAGGTCTCTGTCACCCTCACAGGAAAGTTCTTCCTCAGATGGAAATGGAACTTCCTGTGTTTCAATTTGTACCCATTACCCCTTGTCCTGTCACTGTCCGAGAATAGTTTGTCCCCATCTTCTTTACGTTCTCCCCTCATCTCTAAGATTACATTCATAATGCAGTTTATAAAGGGTTCAGAAATGGCTAGGGGGTGACCTTGATAAGTACTTTTACATTCAAACATATCAACATGTTTTAAAATTGAGCCAAGAAAGTCTTTGCTAACTTCTACTTGTGGTCACACATGCCTGCAAGAGGAACATTAAATACTAGTACCTAATAAGGTCATATATGTAACTATTTCTGAAGTATACATTAGGCTTCTGATAATAAAAAAAAATGCAACCAGTATCTTCTTACAGTGAACTATTTCTATTAATGATTTAACTATTTTTGAGTACACAATGTCTGTAAGTAGTATTAGTGGCAGCAGAGTACATGAAGATAAACACAAGCATCTTTGGTGTTGGAGCTATTCAGTTTAACATGAGTTATGCATTTGAAGACATTATTTTGTCTAAGACATAGCACCCTGTCTGCAAAAATGAATGAAGGAAACACCTGTATCTAGGTAATCTACACAGCTGAAGTCTTTTCAGATCCACATACTGGAAGAGTATAAACCCATTGCTGTAGGTAGCAGTATATGAAAGTGACACCCTTCCACCTCACTTTGCAAAGCCTCCACTTTAACATCTTAGCTAACACTAGTATTCCACATATTTAATGGAATCCTAAGACTCTTCAACACTTCAAGGCTTCTCCTGGCACTCTTACCCCTTACCTCAGCAAGTCTTGAAGAAATCATTGAGCAATTTGCAGGGCCTGGAAGTGAGCAACATTGATGACTGCTCTGTGTAGATATTAACTATGCCAGGACTCATTTAATATGACAAACTCCTCATTCTTACGAAGTTGTGCAAAGCAGTGTGTGCCAGATGACTTCTGCCTTCCTCCCTGGAGGCAGCTACTGAGCCAGCTCCAAACAGACACAGCTTTAAGACCACCTTCTTCTGGAAGCATCAGAGAGTCAAAGCACTTCTGTGGCCTCCAAACAATTTAATCCTCTCTTTAAAAAGATTAAAGAGGAGAAAGAAAGAACATGGGAAAAAGAAAACACAGAAAAGTCCTACTGCCATCATGAAGCAGCAGGAACCCCAGAGAGCCGCTTCTGTCCTGTCCATCTGTCTGAACCTGGAGAGAACCTGCTTCAAAGCTGCAGCACAAGTGGGAAATTCCCTCCTCGCTCTCGCAGGGAAGACTGTGCAGCGCAGCAGAGTCAGGCACAGGGATATTCAAGCACTGTTCCCAAAACGTTTCCCTAATAGTAGGCCAAAGAAAAGCAGGGGAAAGATGGCTCTTTCGTCCCCTCACAGGCCAGCTCATGCTTTCCTTATGAAAACGTTAACACAGTTAATGTGAGGAGAAACTAGACCAGAGAATGACAGGCAAGAACTGACTTCTATACCTTCTCTTATTAAAAAAAAAAAAAAAAAAGAAAAGAAAAACACCTTGTTATTTGCTTGTAGTCTATAGAATATTAAGCCTACATACTCTGAAGCTGGCCAGAAGCCTAACAAAACTGGATCCACCCCATCCTTATTGGCTTTATATAGATAGGTACAGAAATACACAAAGTTCGGATGATTCATGCGCTCTGGAATGAAGGGCAGCAGCGCAGCTCTCCCTAAGCAGAGACATTCATGGGAGAAGGCAAGAAGGACCAAGAACTCTTAAGGGGTTCAAAGCAGCAGCAAGAGGCTTTTCTTTTTAGCTGTAATAAAGGAATAACACTGCCGGAAAAGGAGGTAGGTAGACAGACCAGTTTCTTTTGACTAGCAGGTAAATTAAAACAAAGTTTGCAAAATATTCTAGACACTTTGGCACCAAATTGAAAATATATAGCTCCCAATTGTGCCAAGAACCCTGAACTTACTTCACTTTTCTTGAGACACCATTTATTTTTGGAGGTAGTCACAAGTTCAAATTATTCCAAGAGCCTCCCTGCATATGGCACAACTAAGGGGCAAGGTACAGTATCAAATTTATAAGACTATCAAGTTAGAAATAAAAGCCTGGAAATTATGTTTCTTAAAAGCTAAGAAATGCTCTCAACCCATAGGCAAATGCTAAAGTGCTATTGTGGAATTTAAATGCAACAGGAGCTCAAGATTTTTTCTTATCAATATTAATATACTGAACATTTTTCTTACAGCCATAAGTGACACTGCAGAGTTTTAATGAAAACATTACTACAAAAATGGACCCCCCAAAAAATCCCATAAACCCAGAAGAGCTTTAAAGTTTCAGAATATTTGCAGAGTCACCTCAGGATGCTCTAGTGTCTAAGATCAAGATTTTTTTTTTTTTTTTCCTCCCCCCTCCTCTCTCTCCAGGGGTTTCATCTCAGATAGAGACTGGTAGTATCAGTCAGGATATAAACAGTGTTTAGTCTTTTTAAGAACAGAAAAAAAATGAAGTTACCACCATCAGTATCTTTTTCACTCTGTAAAACTATAAATTTATGGCTATTAACACAACTTTTCATAAGAACTAATTCTTCAGAAAAAAGCAAGACCACCTTAGACTATTATGTTATCTTATAGACTCAGAATTCATTTGGTGTATTTTGGTATTGCACTAATGAGACGCCAGTTCTACTAGTTGAACAGTTACACAAATGTCTAACTTCAGAAGCTGGGACAGCCATATGTCAAACTCTTGTGGTTTCACCACTTGGTATTTTGGGTGTATGCCTTCATTTGTGATAATAAATATCAGGCCACAAACTAATGTCTCCTCAGATATCTAACATGTTTTAACACTCAAAACAGCTTGAAAGTCTAAACATTTCTGCTGTTAGCTTTGAGTTCTCCTCCAAGAATTATTCTACAATATATACCAGATGAATAGGCTAGTGATAACACAACTATTGCCAGTTGCTAGGATGAGTTTCTTTAAGATCCTGTATTTTTTTATTTGGAAATACACACAGGTTTCATTCCCCTCCCGCCCACATATGTGTTAGCTTGAAAATCTCAATCTACTCTCCCAGTACACATTTCAATGCTGAAGGGTGGAAAATCTATGAGCAAGTCACTCCTAACAGCATCCTACACTTACACATATACAAGGAAAAGTCTGTACATGACAAATCAGGCAGAATAGTATTATGTATTTAAAATACCAACTGACAGGCCCTAGCACATTATCTTTATGTAGTAAGTAGGTTAAATACCAAAGTTAAAATCTACAGCATTTAAAAAAAAAATAAAAAAATAAAAAAAAAGATGGATTTCAGCCCCAGCCTTGCATTTAAAAGTCCCTAACCACACTATTACACCTTCTGCATGCTGTATATGATGTGCTTATATATAATATTCTGTACTACATATGTTCACTCCTGCTTTTTCACTACCGGCCAGTCAGGAGAAATTGCTGTAGTTTAAACAAAGTCACTAGTGTTATACTTTCCAAACTTCCGTAATATTCTCACAGTACACACGTAAGCAGAAGAGCTTTTGTTAGATCCTTTAATGACCTAAAGAATTAGCATTATAGTTGACTAAGCCAAGAGGATGCATCTCACAGGTCTGCCTTTTTACTGAAAAGAGAACACCAGAATTCCAAATGGAGCAACACTGAATACAATTTTATTCAGCATTACTAAAACCACATCCCCCCCAAATAAAAACATGAGCAATGACTGTTATTTCCTCTCTTACCAGCCTCTTAAAGACATATAAGCTCAGACCCACAGTGGAAAAACTGTGTGTATACACACACACACATTTATGTGCACATACACCCGCACATACAGCACCAGGCAGTAAGGTCATGTCTGTCTTTTTACAATTGTATTACCATAGTTGTCTCCAATCAAACTAATGCTCCAAGACCAGAGCTATCACATTAATGGTTACTTTTCTTTATTACCTACAAAACCTTTCCTGGCCAAAATAATAAAGACTATATAGGAGCCCGATAACTTTACAAGGTGACGGCATTTCTGTGTTTATTGTAAGCCATTTCTACTGCGAATTGCTAACAACTTTTCAAAGTGCAACACTGATTTGGAAACGCAGGCGCACTAATACACCAATTGCCATGACTAATGTATAAACTTTTAATGACCTTGGCAAAATCTATCTTTCATTGGGCAGGTGCCACTATTTTGACTGTACAAATGTTTTGGAAATATGTTGAAAATTATACATGTTTTGGAAAATATTTCAGGACTTCAGAATAGTGAATGAAGCTGTATTAAATAAAAGTTTGAAGTGGAGGAGAAAATACACCTCAAACTTCTGCGAGTCTCTATTTTCCTTATAAAACAGGAGACATCCTCTGACTGTTGTACATTCACAGAATGTTGACTTTTTATCGAAACAAAGTAAAAAGATAAAACTTTATCTTGCATGGCTTTCACTCATCAGTCACTTTCACTTTCTTGTTTCAGACCACCTCCTTGTTCAACACTGCTCTCGCCATCACTCTCCTTGTCCCAGTCTTTCATAGACGCTCCCATCATGAAGTCATCGCGCAGTATATTCCATTCTGGCCCCTCTTCAGACTTCTTTTCACCCTAAATATTTGAGGGGAAGAGAGGGAAATGAGATGAATGTGAAAAGGGGACAGTCCAAGATCGAAGTTGTTCAAGCAATCAAAGTATCTCACACTTTCAAAATCTGCACCAACAGACACACTGCAGGCTACTTATGCAAATTGATACAGAAATATGCAGGACAATCAAAAATGATGCTAATAAGAAAACCTATTTTAACCAACTAATACAAAAACATGGAAACAAAACAGTTATTGCTCATGGATGCAACAGTCAACCCTGGGCATGGCTTGCTTTATTAAAATCTTTCTTGGCAATCAAAACGGATCCATGATATCATTTATTAACCCCCAGGTGCTGCTTCATTAGAACAGTTCTTGGCACATTTCTGCAACACAAATAAGGATTTAATAAAGGCTTAAAAACTCCAAATTTAATATTTAACATATTTTGCGATATGTGAACCAAATCCCCTTTATGTGGATTATTACCTCACTACCTGGGCTTGTCATATGGTGCAAAGCTGCCTCTAAAAGAAACCGAAAGTTAATCCACACAGCAAGCCAATGGCACCTTACTCCAAATTTCCTACTTCTTGCAAGTGGACAAACTGAGGCCACACTGCATTGACTGGTGAACAACAAAGAAAGGCAGCAAGAGCTTAGTTTTACATTAGTGTTCAAAAGACTGCTAGACTGCAGTTCTCCAAGTAACAGAAGGTATTTGGGCAGTGCAACAGCCCCATCCTGTGGTAACAGTTTTAAAGCACAGCATGAAGCAATTCCTACACTCTTAGCGTTACGTGCTGTGATGCGTCATGTTCCCCACATTCTTAATGTAAGAAAATACTCAAAACTGTTCCACGTACTAATGGAGTATTTCAGCAGTTTGGGTCCTAGTAGCAAAATATTTCCCATGAACGACATGGCTTAATGCACAGTAAAGAAACGAAAAGTATTTCTACCAAACACTAATCAGGTACAGGAGAAAAATAATTTACTTTTGTAGGGCCTTTGAAACAGAATTATACAGGCATCTCGGTGCTTTTCCTGCCCTTCCTGCTCAAAACAACGGGATGCAGCTGACTCATCACAGACTAAGTAACTGCCAGCCGCTGATGGTGGATGGGGATAATCTGTTACAACATCCCTCTGTGTTAATACTGCTTGATCAAAAACAGTAATTGAATTGGGAATGCCCCTCATTGAGATGTCTTGGCAGATGTCTCTTTGCCTACTGGATGCAAAAACTGTAGTAAAGATGATGGTTGCAGTCACTGCTCATGCCTCTTCTTTGTACAGCACATCCAGAGCAATAACTGTTTTGTTTCCACATTCTTTTATTAGTTGAAGCAAGTTTTCTTATTACCATCATTCTGTACTCCTGGGAATATGGAACACATTAGAACATATTAAACTCATATTCATGCAATCTGTAGGAGAAAGCAGCATAAATAATTTAACAGCAAAAGAAATAAGGAACAGAAAATGCAGACCCATCGCTATAAATCCAACACAACATAACACACCAACAGAAGCTATGTGGGTGCAAAAAGCCTGTCAGCCAAACAAGACATGTACTTTTAACAGCCATTCAAAACAGAAACAATCCTTTAGAGATGTGACTCGCTCTACGGTTCTTTAAAATGATTTCTTTCACAAAAATAGGATAACAAGCCTTAACGCCTTATTTCCGAAAAGGAATCTCCCAGGGCCCAGATCAAAAAAAGAGCAGCTCTGCAACTGTTCCTCAAGATACTTACACATGTTTTGGGTTATTTTTTGTCTGGAGAGCGACTCTCATTAGTGTGTGTTCCTAAGGATAACTCTCCCATCCCCAAGAGCAATGAAAAAAAACAGCAATACCCTGTTTCCCTGGACCTCTTAATCACCACTACCTAAATGGGTCATTGTGTAAAATTTGAAAAATCCAAATGAATATTCAAGTTCTCTTTTTTTTTTTTTTTAAAAAAAAAGGGGGATCTTTTTCTGAAATGTCAAATAGTATTCGGGGGGAAAAACAGACATTCATGCTTATCCACACATCCAGGGGTTTTTTGCTTGTTTGTTTTTAAAAGAACAGGGCAGAAGCAGTATGTTACGATCAGCAGTGACAGGGAAATGCTCACATTTAGAGAAGCCTGATGCTCAAATTCATCACAATCTTATATTTGGCAGGAGATTAGTCCTGCTTCCCAGCCAGGTCAGGAGAACAAGAGGACAAAAGCAGAACCTCAACAAAAGAGCCATGCTGATCCGACACCGCATTACACACTATGCAGTGAGCCACAAAGGTTTACACAGACACTGAGGAGAGACAGAGGCAGCATGTCTGTGCCTGAGAGATGGAGATTAAATGCTTGAAAGCAAATATTTAATCAATTTTAAGCATGCTGCCAAGTGAAGGAAAACCCACGTTTTGTATCTTCATTCCTAACTCATTTACTGCTCTATTTTCCACTAGAATAGAAGATACAAAGTCTTTTGCATTAAGTCTTAAAATATGCAACAAGACTATTTGTAGAATTAGCAATTAGTCCAACTGTAATATCACTTCCCAACTCATATTACTTAAAAAAGTTAATGTATTTGGGTTTTCAATGCCATAATCTAGTTCATCTGAATAAAACAAAACTGATTCTTGGCAACTGGAAAATAAACTAGCTTTCATTCCATACAGCTATCTATGAGTTTCCAGTCAGCTGTTCATCCACATCTCCCACATTCCACTACAACACTGAAGCCTCCTTTGAACATCCCCAAATGAAAACAAAACAGGCTATGTAAATATTAGTGTGTGCTGCTACATAAAATGGATTCCTCGAGTAAGATAAAAGGTGAAATAACCTCCCCCCTTCAAAGAAGAGAGGCATCTGAATGGTTCTGTTCCCTGCCTTAAGTAGTGGAAACCTTATAGAAAAGATGTGGGGGCCAAAGGGAAGCAGCTTCTAAAATACCCCAGGATATTTATCACAGATGCACGATGATTTACTTGAAGTTGAAATAAGACAGAACAAAATATGAAGTTGTGGATGCTGTTCATGGATGCCCCATGAACCCATTCACGGGGGCCGGCTGACACTCATACCGAGGAGGGAGAAGTTAATGAAACAGACGCTGCCCTGGCTGCTTGCGGCTCACCGAGGCTGACAGCATCGGTTCAGCCTGGCACAGCAAGGCTCTGAGGTGGGGACCTGCTTCCTGAACTAACCTTGCTTTGAAGACACAGCTGCAAAAATCTGCACCAGGACAAGACAACCTATATTCCTCAGCAAAGCCCTAAGAAAACAGACAAAGCTTAGGGCTGACACACAAAGAAACTGCTTGTCAGGATGTGTTTGGATCTGGGCTGGGATCCCCTTCTGGATACTTCTGAAGGAATCGATCTGTGAAGGCCTCACGTCACCAGCAGCAGCTATGCAGCTATCTAACTAGGAATACTAGGGACAGGAAACCAAATGACCCTGCAGCCTGTGTGCCTGGGAAGGCACCGTAACTGGGGGTGTTACCACAAGACCACTCTCCAGAAGCAAGAACGACCAGCAGCACTCGGGGCTTCCACAACTCTGCTCCACGCACAGGACGAGCTGCCAGAGCCTGCAGGGGCACCTCTCTACCATCACATACAGTAAGTGTTTATTTGCACCTGTCAAGGAAGGAATTTCTAACATAAATACCTCCGGAGCAACCATTTTAGAGTCTTGAGAAAATGTTTCCAAAGCATCTAAATTGCACTGCCTGCCCAGCTGCCTCCATTTTGTTTGGGATACAGGGAGACTTTTATCACAACAAAGGAGTCAAAAAAAAAAAAAAAAGCATAAATTGTAAAAGTGCATTCTCACACTCATCTGGAAATTACCCCATCCCATGAGCACCATCTTTCTCCAAATGACCAATGCTATTCTGCCACCCATTCCCAAGCAAGCTGCTTTCAAACCACCTCATGGGACCCAGCTTGGAGACGGCAGGAGGGATCCGTGCGAACCCTCCTTGGGAAGGCCCTTGGAAGCAGGGCCGGGGATGGAGCGCAGCATACACAGTGCCCTAGGCTCCACCTTTCCAAGCTAAGGGAAAACACATTCCCTCTAGGCTGAGAGCAAATTAATAAATAACAATAAAAAAGCAGCCTGCAGTATATAAAATAACTATATAAGTAGAATCTGAGTGCAAAGATTAAAAGAAAAAAATACCCCTTCATTAGCACTGCCTGCTGTTCTAACTGCTTTGAATCATAATATCTTAACTATAAGAAAGCTTCCTATATCCACCTGATCCTGAAAAGAGAGAAAGCCACAGGCCTGAAAGCAGGGACTCTGTTCTCTACCTGCAACTGTCTTGAATCCTGAGACGAAGTCTCACACCAACACACTGGATTTTGGAAAGCGCTTTCTAGCTTGTAGAGGTCTCTTCACTTCTGCAGTAACTCTGCAAATCATTTGCTCCTTAAGGAAAGGGCCACTCACCACAAATTTACAGCCCTCTAAATGACAAATTTAACTAAACTGAGTTGCCTTGGGCCATGTGAAGCGACACTTCATTGCGGGCATCAGCAGCAGCTCAGGAGGTTTATTCACAGTGTGAACCGCAAGGTCCCTTGTGCACACTGCAATCTGTACTGACACTTCCTGCAAACAAGGAGAAGAATGGATTCTGCTTTACAGTGTTTTGAGTCCTGCTGCTCCTGCTCAAGCTTCTCTGCAAATAAAACCCTGGAATTACTACTGCAAGACAATGGAAGCACAACAAATATTGATTTTCATTTTGAGCCCAGCCAGAAGACCACCCAGAACCTAACAACCCGCATGAGGCATCTCCCCATCCTCACATCCTCCTCTGGGGTTTGCTACAACTGGGATGTGTGAATGAGAAGGAATGCTTTGGATTGGCATGCAGAGGCTTAAACACACAGCAACCCATGAAAGGTCAGAACTGAATTACAGAAACTCTAAAAATAAACACTCGTTTGGACTTAAGCAATGAAGCAAGATCACCACTACCATTATTAAATGCTCAACTGAAAAG